AAATAATAACGGTAACGAAAATAAGACTACACCAAATGGTGATGATAATAAGAATAATGATGATGATAAGAAGACGATGAATAATAAAAACAAAGTTATCATAGGGGTGGTTGTTGGAAGTATATTATTTGCCACAGGATTATTAATCGGCTTTTTACATTGTTCAAGGAAGAGACATTCAGAGGAGCATGACGGAATTTCTCAAGTGATCAACATGTGATTTACCAAAATCACTTTTTTCAAAAAAAAAAGGGTTCTTTATGGTAGAAACGTAGAAACAAAAGTCAAAGTGCTTTTTCGAAAAGAACCATATGATCTTTTCGTTCATTCCCAATATTACGTTTAAGACTCACCCATATTTAATAGATCTAATAGATCCACCGTATGACGAGAATAGTCACCAAAAATCTTTTAATTTGCGTAGTCATTTTTGGTGTTTGATTTAAACATGAAATGAATACAATGAGTACAACGAAACACAAGTATAAATAAGTCATTGTTAAATTTAAAAATAAATTTATTACTAAATATAAGTTTGCATCACAAATATACATGTTTGATTTTAACTTTTTCGTAATTACAATATATAAAAAAAAATATATATATAAATATGTCGGAAGTAACAGTCGAAACCACCGAAACTATTTTGTTTCTCATCTGTTTAAGGTTTTCTATTTTATTGTGATTTAATATCACAACTTAAAATGATGATAATAGTTTTCTTTCGTATAAAAATAAATAACATTAATTAATTTATTATCAACATGAAAAGATATTTATTCTTATCACTTTATGAGTTTTTATTATATCTATCTTACGTTTTATTATTAATAGTGGGAAAAAAATGAAATATTGGCAGGTTTTTCCTCTAAAGTAGAATATATTAAACGAGAGACAGCACTGCTGTCACGGCAGTGATAATGTTATTGATTGTACTCGACTAAATTTTTCAAATGTTTTAAGTAATGCAAAAGTATTTAGATTTTAAAGCCATTAGAAAATAGTTCTTCAGTGGTATCTTAATTATATTGGTAGTAAAGTTGGTGTAGTCAATACGTCTAAATAAATGTCAGATGTCTAAATATATACAAAATGTTTATTATGACATTGGCGTAAGTAAATTAAAATATATATATATATGTATATGACGTATTATTGGGAACGATGATCAATAAAAGATGCCGTTTAGACAACATTTTGACATTACTACTTTGTAAGAGCCATTGCCAAAAAAGTATTTCGACTGTAGTTTGCCTAAACATTTGTCAAAATAAAACTTTCGACTACCAACTCTAATTGGTAATTCAAAGAATTTTTAATTTCGATTAAATTAAGAATAAAAAAATTTACATTTACTCAATAATTATATAAAATAGTTAATATCAACAGGAATTGAACTTTTAGTATAATACTATTTGTGATAATGTTTGTGATAATACTAATGTTATATTAAATATATAAAATATATTTTAATATAGATATTACCTTCAATTAAATCATCAGCAATACAAAATATAACAGAAAAAGTCAAAAAATATGGACTTGATGGGTATCTCAAATTATTCTATTAATTCTATTAATTCTAATATTCTATTAATTCTATTAATTTTATTAATAATTTAATAATTGTATATAGGTCAATGTTATTAAGAATGATAGTAATAACAGTCTTAGTAAAACATTAGAAAATATAAATAATACAATGCATTCCGCCAATTGGAACACAAGTTGGATTATAACATTTACAGTGATATGGAAACACCTTTAAACAATATTTCTAGCATTCAAGATTATACAATTATCCAAGAATTTTAAAATTATTATCTTTATATTATATTATTATTATTTTATTACATTATTATCTTTATATATTTTTTAGGCATTTTATCTTGATTTAGAGGAGAATTATAGCGCTCCTCAAGATAACAAGAATAACAGTTATACTGTTACTTTCAATAGTTTACTTAAGCAGCTTAAAGATCTTAAAAGAACTAATTTTACAAATTTGGTTTGGGGATTTGATCTCAGTGGAATTATGAATAGTAAATTTTCTATTTAACGGATTGTGTATAGCTAAGAATGGATTCGTTATTTGATATTGATACCAACTCTTTGATTCTTTCGAATTCACTACTTCTGCTTACGAAGATCCTGAATCTCTATATTATTTCAATTAATAATAGCAATAGCATATTGAAATTCATAAAAAAACTGCTCCAAAAATAATGAAAATGGAAATAATGGAAGTGGAAGTAAGGGAAATATTACTACACCGAATGATAATGATAATAAGAATAATAACAATAACAAAGTTATTATTGGGGTTGTTGTTGGATGTACATTATTTGCTATCGGATTATTAATCGTCTTTTTATTCAAAGGAGGCAATTGTAAAAGTTATAGAAGATAAACATTACCCTCTTAATAGTTGTATGTATACTTATTGACTAATGACGTGAAAAATAACTATATGACATTTTCAATAATCACCTCATTTTTTTTTCTTTTTTGGAGGGTCACATTATCAATGAATTATACGTAAATATTATTATTTATACAATGAGTACAATGAATACACAAGAATTGGTATTGCATCACAAATATACATAAAGTGTATTTGTCTTGTATTTATTTTGATATCCAATTTCCATTAACTTTTTCATTTTTTTGGGAATTTGTTTTCGTTTCACTTTTCCCATTATATGTACACATATATTATATATATAAGTGGGTCGGAATTAACAATCGTCGAAACAAACGTTATCTATTTTGTTTCGTATCGATGTCTTAAGAAAAAATAATTGAAAAGTAAAAATAACCTGTCACATTTTATATTTATATATTCAAAACGGAAGTTTTCTATATTATTGAATGATATAATATAAACTTTACCATTTCCTTTAAATTGAAAGAAACATACATATAAAAAGAAAAAATTAATTAATTAATTATTAACATGAAAAAATATTTATTCTTATCACTTTACAAGTTTCTATTATATCTGTTTTATTTTTTATTATTAATAGTGGGAAA